CCCATCTTTGTCTAACCGTAAAAAAGAAGAAAAAAATCTACGGGGAGGGGGTATCCTCTTTCTTAAAGGTATGAATATGAAAGCTATGTGCTGCTAAGGGAAGTAACTCCAAAAAGTAATCATGCCAAGGCAGTTACCTACTTATTTTTTAATGTAATTTAGTATCTATTTCTGAAAGTATGATAAAGAACATTGATTAAATATAAATAAAAAAATACCCTCCTCCCCTTCATCTGGTCATTCTTGTTCCCATTGTTAAACTTGGTGAAAAGATTATCTGATCTCACATCATCATCCATCCAAAGATGCTTGAGCTCAAACAGTTGGTACTATCACTTAAACTTGGCATTACTCACATTGCATCATTTTATTCATTTACTGTTAAACTATATTTACATTCAGCTTAGTTCCTAATTCACCACATCACATTTTGTTCAGTGTGTAATACCAAGTTGTTTTGCTTTGTTTATTGAGATGAAGGATTTTTTTTTTTATATGGATCATATGTTTCAGTTATTTATATCACTATTGTAAATGAGAAAACATTGTCATTCTTTTAATATACAATGTCTTATTTATTATAATTTTAATTGCCCTATGCTACTTTTGTAAGTCCCAACTATATGGTCCCGAAAATTTGTGTAATAGAAGGGGGACAACAACTGACTCATTGAAAATAACACATGTAGAGAGGGGTTTGTAGGTCTGCCAAATAGCTTGGGTAGAATGGATGACATTTTGAAAGCCTTTCATCATGTTTATGTAGGTTCTTAGATTTTCCAGAACTTACCCAGTATGTATATCTTAATGTCAGTCAACATGACAGGGCAACATTCTGTATATTCACCAGTACTGTTTGAAGTACAGTAGTAGTTATACCACACAGAATTCACTATCAATCCAAAGTTTTGTTTGAAATGTGATAGAATGTTACTAACTTTTGCACTATTTTCACCAGTAATAAAACTAAAGATTATTTCAACATGTTTATGAAACTCTTCCTTATTAGTAACTGCAAATATTACAAACCCAAGTTTTCACAAACATTTAATGCATTTGTTTTTTCTTACAATATATCTACAAATTTACAACATACTTGTACAAGCACATTTATATTTCTACAATTTATAGATACTATATTACTATGAGTGATAGTTCTCTCCCTCCCAGTGCCATGGTATACATATCTCTCCATCCTGTAACACAGAATAATACTGGGAAATTCTTAGTCTACAATTCCAAAGGTACATCGCCCATAAAGGAGAATTTTCTAAGAGCTTTTGACAGCACTGGACCATGACATCGGGAGTAACGTTATCATCTTTTTCTAAAGAAGCGAGACCCAACTCTGCAATGCATCGTCCATACATTTCACATTCCTTGGCTTTCATTCTGAACAAAAAGTAAAAAATGCCAAATTCAACACATGGACCAACCAGATTCTTACACAACACAATACGTTAGTTAAATGGTTCCTTCATCATTATTTAGCAAGATCATTAAAAGATGTACAATTAATACAGCTTCTTTCATTCTGTTAAATTCCACCACCTTTGACCTGAATAATTCTTCGATTGAACATAACTTCTTGTTTTTGGTTTGTCCTTGCCCAGGCAATCAAGTAAGGATGTTAATCTTGCCTGACATTTATTTATTTTTGGTGTTAAGGTTATGTTCCTACATGCCAACATATTTTATATCAGGACACAGTTTCTTCTTATTATTTTCACTTTTATGGGTATAATTTAAGTAGTAAACGTACCTATGTATTTTTTTTTTTTAGTTTTGTGTGTTGTGATCATGAAAGTAGAATTTTTTCAGATACACATTTTTGGCTAGATGGCTTTTGTTTTGATATCATTCCAGTGAAACTAACTTTACTGTCCTAACCTAATTTTTTCAGATACACATTTTTGGCTAGATGGCTTTTGTTTTGATATCATTCCAGTGAAACTAACTTTACTCTCCTAACTTCTTAATGAGCTCATTGGTCAATATTTTATTAAGTGTCACAAAAGTTTTTGATAAAGCTGCAGAAGCACAAATGCTCAAATGACTACGATTTTTCTAGTGTCATTGATTCACTCTGATACTGAATTTTATGACACCAAACCCTCACCATTTAAAGGGTGTGGTTGTAATGAATGACTCAGTTAAAATAAAAGTAGTTGGTATCTCTGCTTAAAAATTTCTTAAAGCAAAAGTCAGTTGTCCACCTACTAATCCTCTTAATCTGTACAAGTTCTTCCTTGAAGCATACGTCCAGATACTGTACATATAACACCTCTACATTGTGTCATATAAGAGTTGTGTATTAAGATGTCAATTGTAGTTGTTTACTCAATATTGGGAAGTTACCATTCCCCACTGTTCGGTATGTCACAAAATACTAAACATTTTTCAATGATACTTTAGAAAATTCTGTTAAGTTTTACCTCGCACTCTAACTTTTGGAGATTTTATCAAAATCTAAAACACTGTTTCCATAATTCATATTTTGTGTACTTCATTGTTTAAATATCTACTAGTAAAAGCCATAAAATGTTAGAATTTTTAATTATTTGACACTTTTTATGTCCTTCTACATTCCAGCGAGGCAGGACCCTTAATGTTGTCACCTACAGGACAGTTTATCGCACCTGCTTCCTGTCCACCTTTTTTACTGTTAGACTTTATCTCAAAAAACATGCCAGAAGCTGACCAGAAGTTAAAATTATATGACCTGTAAGTTTATTACTATCTTTCCTTTTATTTTGATAAGAAATATTGATGATGGCATTAGGCTTAGTGTGTGTGTGGAGTGCTAATAAAATTTCATATATCGCAATTGAAGAATGATTAGCTTTGAAGTTTCTGTATTGAACATAAAGTGTAGTTAGTTGGTCTAGTTAGTGCAGAGATTTGTGTCAGATTTATTCATTGCTCCTGACAGAGTTGACATAAAACATTAAGGAATTTAAAATTTGTTTGTCTGAAATGAATGACATTGGAATCTGTAGAGTAAAGCATATAAGATGCAAGGTTTGCACAATCAGATGGCAGTATATTCAGCCTTAAATTTCAGCAAAACTAATGCGTGGCAAGTACAATAAGTTACAGAAAATTGGGTTTTACTTACCATTCAACAACTAACTTAAAGTGAGTAAGACGTCTAGGCCACTGGTCTGGGAAACCTTTCTGCCAGCGATACCTATATAGTGCTGATGTTAACTTCCTTAGCTGCTGAATGTATTTCTCGACCATCACTGCTGGCTGAAATTTGCGGTGGTCGATTCGAATTCCTCTCAACACTTCAGAGAGAGCTCTCTCTGTAGCTGGTACCTCTTCTAAGTAACAATCGTACTTCCACACTACATTAATAAGCTATTTATAGGCAAAGAAAGGAAACATCTTTAGAAAACATCAAATAAAATATTGTTTTCAAGCCATAAATTCACTTCGAATAACACCACAAGATGTTGGGAGAAAAAAAAAACTTAAGTGTGTATGGTATTTAAATTAAATTTTTGAATAGGTAGTTGAAGATTACATGGTATTAATAATTTATTCTTCGGAATTATTTAGTAAACAAGTAGTTGAAAATAACTGTTTCTCTTGTCACAAACTTTGTGAAGTTCAGTGATAAAGAAGAGAAGAATAGACTTCAACTTTTTTTTTTATGTTACTGCAAAATACAATAAACAACACCCCCAAGATATGCTTATCCTTTACGGCAGCATATAAATAATGTCATCTGCTCATTTATATCTGTCTTAAAGCCACTTTTTTACCATACACTGTACAGAAAAAGATCTATAGAAATATATATTTTCCTTTGTGAATTACACCAACATGGTTAACAGATTACAATCAGTCAAAAATAGCATTAAGAACCCAACTGTTTTTTTTTGTATCCAAGCCAGCATGATGTAGTATTGAGGGATAACTATCATCAGCAATGGATAATAGTGACTGAATTACTATTATACACCTATCTTCTCAGAAAAACTAAATAAAGAAGTTAATGTTTATAAACAATATAAAAAGCCTAATAACGCTGTTTTGTTTAACATATAATTGATATTAATCATGTTTTACCAGCTAATGGCATTCACACCATAACAAAATATTTAAGAAACTGAACTACAAGATTAACAAATTCCTCAGATTTAATATAAGATCCTGTTTTATATGGTTACTGATAATACTCTAGAATGTTTAAAGCAATTTTTCTTGTCTAAATGAGATATTCCTTCTGCTGGGATACTAATATCAGTAATGTAAATCAGTTTATTTGGATTAACCTCTAGTCTCAAAAGTAAGCTATTTCTGGTATGTTTCAAAAAGATTGAAATTCCAGTGGATCAACAATAGATTATGACTTGTGATTGATATATTTATATCAATGATATAAAACTTGATATACTCACAGATCTTTAAATATGATATTAACATTTGAATATTTTGACAGAGTACGGTCATTAATTTCACTGTTCTATTTAAATGTTACTTGAAGAAAGTTACAAACAGAAAACATTAATTAAAGTAACTGATAACCAGCTATTTGCTTCTCGGTGGTTGTAAACATTCCACTTTCCGTCACTATAATATTAGGTGTATTCAATCTAAATGGCAATTAACCTATTGGCTAAACAGTTAGGTTAGAATGTCGGAAATCATTCTCGGGTACATGAACATTATAACAAGATCTTCCACACTCACAGGTACATGAACATTATAACAAGATCTTCCACATTCTCAGGTACATGAACATTATAACAAGATCTTCCACACTCTCAGGTACATGGACATTATAACAAGATCTTCCACATTCTCAGGTACATGTACATTATAACAAGATCTTCCACACTCACAGGTACATGAACATTATAACAAGATCTTCCACACTCACAGGTACATGAACATTATAACAAGATCTTCCACACTCTCAGGTACATGGACATTATAAAAAGATTTTCCACACTCTCAGGTACATGGACATTATAAAAAGATTTTCCACAGGCCCAGCTACAGTAACAGTCAATCCCACTATTTGGTTGAGAACAGATACATAGGTGGCAGGAGCTGCTGACTGGTTGCTCAAATTTAGAAATAGCTGCGAGTTGGAAGATCTTGTTATAATGTTCATGTACCTGAGAATGTGGAAGGTCTTGTTATAATGCTACTGTAGCCAGAGTGTGAAAGCTTTTAAGCAACATGTGGATCAAACACTAGATCTTCTGACGCACAAGACAGCATGCTCTATTAGGCTATATGTAGTCTACATTATAGAGACAACAGACATTACCTAGCAATATAAAGTTGTTATCTTAATGTTACAGAAGCATTCAAGACTTTTTTTCGATGTACTCCAAAGTGATAATTTTTTTTAACTATTCATTATATAGATAATCTAGAAGGCTATTTTTCTTTAAGAAAAATATCATCATAAACAGCAGAAACACTGTC